GTATTGCTGGACAACAAGTACATGTAGCAGCTTGCTCCTCGCTGCTGACGACCTCGGTGGTCTAGCGGTCTAGCAAACCGCTTTACGTCCGATGGTCGCGGGTTCGATTCATCGCACGGCACAAACATTTGTATTCATGAGTATGATTGTTTGTATCGGTCTGGGTGTTTTCTATGTATAATATGTATATATTTACAAAAAAAATATATCTATGTATATATATCAGTTGTCTAGTACCCATAACACAAGCTTTAACTAGCTTAACTTGGGTTTAGATGACGCTGTGTGAATTGTCCTGAGATTATTATTATTATTATAGATATCACAGACCACCCACTCTCTGACATTCTGTAATCTGTACACACACATATCAAATACAGGGATAGGCTTATTTTGTTTTTCTTTTTGTTTTCAAGTTCAATATTCTTTGTTTTTGGTAAATTTAAATGTATTATACATTTTATTAGACTAACGTGATGTGGGTAACGTCATGCATGTATATTTTGGAATTATATAAACTCGGTGGAGGGCGTCGATATTCGCAATATAGTTTTATACTTCTTTGAATGTTATCGTTTCTATAGTAAATTCGTACACATGTTTATATTTCAAGTAAATAAGTATAATAAATGAAAATAGTGATAGGATTATTCATATTATACTTCTATTATAACTGATCTCAGACAGTTATGCACTCAATGCATTGTTGTCTAAAGACAGAGACAGACATCAGAGATTTTCTCAATATGAATATACCCAGATTTCTAGATTAACTCTTGTACGTTTCTCGAGATTATTACTCCATGTAAGTACATTTAATTTGTTCTACGAGGGTACAAACAAATGGAATCCGATTAGAAGTAACAGTGTTCTGTCGACCGTTGCTCCCACATTTAATTGTAGCGTGTACCCAATAGTCTAAGAGACTGTGATTGTTACATCTTCGTTATATTGATAAATACTAGGTTTTTTCCGGGCTACTCTAATGCTGTCGTCGGCCGCAGCTGGCCTTTACAGCTTCACCGGTCGATAGTGAGCGAGTGCAAATGGCACGCCAAACCCATGGAAGGACTTATGGAGCGGCTGAATGCCAACTCTCGCTTGACGGACACGTCTTTAGTCTGAGGGCACCGCTAGGGGTTCGAACCGCGACTCATGCCGTCGTAGTTTCGATCCCCGTTTGAATTGGACGGGGGATCGATTGTAAGCCTGCTACTTTGTACGCGTGGTATTCGGAATAATAATAGGTTAATAAGTTTTTGTTTGTGAACAGATAAAATCGGAACGAATACAAAATATTACAGGAAACATACTATAATAGTCATAAATGAAAACCGTATTCAAATTGATTAAGCTGTTTCTGGTTATTTATAAGTTATCATTATCAGCTGTTTTTGAAATTAACGTGCACAAAAGTACATAATGTATAAATCCACAAATCTATGCAAATAAATAAAAATTAAGTGTGTGTTTATAACTTCAACTTTTTTTCCCTAAGTGCATGAGAAATAACATTGATTCTTTGTTATTTCTTTATTACAAAATGAATTTAAAAAATCGTTTATCATAGACAGATCACAATTTTGAAGTTACCTGGTTAGCCTAATTTTAAATGGACTTTCATTTTCAGATAGTTATTGTATAATACTTAAAGAAGATAATATTTTAAGGAAGGTGTTAGTATGGATAGTTATAAGGGCAGAGGATGGCTGAAAAAGAGATGGATGGACTGTGTGAAAGATAATAAGGAAAGAAAGGTAGTAAATAGATGACAGCGAACAGGGATGAATGAAAAAGAAACACATATTACGCCGATCCCAAATAAGTGGTTATCGGAAGAAGTAGATGACGTTTACCTGCGGACGAAGTCGCGGTTAACAGATAGTCTATATATACATTATGTTAAATATATTTTGTAAACAGAGTGTACAAATAATGTTTTATAAAAGTATTTAACGCACGAAGAGCTCATTAACAATTTTATTATAGGCATGATGAAACTTTCGTAACAATCACAGGCTCTTGTTCTAAAATATTCGTTACTGAAATGTATCCAATTTGAATTCAGTTCAACTTTATATTTCTACTCTGTTAACTTGTTATTGTAAATTGTTGTCAGAGTTTAGTTGATGATTTAGACTTATTACGCTAGAAGAAACTCAATTACAAAGTTATAAACGTAAATTACTACTCAGACCATATTAATTTATTATTACATTACATCAGTATAACATCTATACATATCAATATCTGTTTGTATCTGTTTATTATTCAAAATTAATTTGTATATATTCTAGACATCGCGGGCCCCGAGAGTTGAAGTTCGCAGTGTGAGGCGGACCCTTTTTTTCAAATTATTCTAATGGTGTTGGCCGTAGCTAGCCTTAGCTACAGGTCGAGTGCAGATGGCACTCCAAACCACGAAAGGACTTATGAAGTGGCTTAAGGCCAGCCCCGTCCTGACGGATACTGCTTTACTCAGAGGGCACCGCTAGCACTGGCTATTGTCCTAGTTGCGGTAGAATGCTAAAGCAACTTCGCGACTCCGGCAAGTGCACTCGAAGGTATACCATGTCATTTTAGTGGGTACGAATCTCACACTCCCCTTCGTCACCGCTCTAGCAGGGGGATGGTGCTTATTTTTGGACTACTCTAATGTTCTTAGCCGCAGCTGGCCTTTACAGCTTCACCGGATGCCTATGCCCTGTGTATAGCATTCCACCTAATGACTTATGGAGCGACTGATGACCAACTCTCGCCTGACGGATACGACTTTTGTCTGAGGGACCGCTATGGGTTCACACCTCGGCTCTGGTCGTCGTAATTTTGATCTCCGTTTACTTTCGGTTGGCGAGACGGTGTAACGGATGCACCGTATTCTAAGAAGATTTCGAGACGAAGCCGAAATAATTGTCGAGAAAGCCAAAATAATAGTAAGTACATTATAATACCGTACATATAAAATCTTTCCCAGCTGCTGAACAGATCTCATAAAAGACATGTAGATATATTGTATGTCGAGGGGCTATACATCGGAGTATGTATATGGGCTATCATCTTTTATATACAGCAGAGAAAGTCGGTATCATGACCTAGTGAATAATAAACAGTAGTTGACTTCATTTACTTGGTTTTTCATATTGTTCTTCCAAACTACGGATCAGATTTGATTAAGTTTTCACTGACATTTCGAGATTTTTTTACATATATAATAATAGATGTACATATATGACAAATGTATACACTTGTACGATCTCTTTACATATAGTATATACCCATTTAAAGCCGGGTTGCGTTACTATAAAAAATTATTAAGGGTTCTTTGATTAAAGAAATGTTTGATTTTTACAATCGTATAAAATCTCATTTAACAAGAGTAGATACCTAAAAGCAAAGTTTATTGTCAGTTCTTCTCGCTTCGAACTCAGTGTAATAAAGATACCTGCCTCCTATATGAATAAAGATATTTGTTTTTGTTTGAAAGTAAAAATAGAATTATAAAACCATATACGAATATTATACTGAACTTTATATAACCGTTTATATTCACGCTTGGCTCCTTAAACATATACAAAAAACAAAGTACCATTAGGCTCTATACATAACTACTTTATTTCTTACTTTCATAACTTGACAACAATACTTTCTATTTATGCCCACAACTATAATCCCCAAGAGGGTTGTCATAATTATTGTTAACTACAGAATTTGTTGCGTAAGCGTAATGCTCATTCGCAAACCATAACATGTCAATTTCATATTCCCGTACTATTTTCACGTTACTAAAGAAATAGAAAAAGAGCAACACACAAGTTTCTTGCTCATTCTTCTTGTGATAAATCTGCATTCCGAATGAGTGGTAGAATCAAAATATGACTATTCAAAAGTGCTTGTAATGAGTTTATTTGAATAAAGATTACTTCCATTTCTATTTCTTCAAATAAACTTAATATAAAAACTTTTGAAATAGTCACATTTTTTTTATTCTACCACTCATTCAGAATGCAGGCTCATAAGAGGAACGAACGAGTAACTTGCGTATTGCTCTATGAAATAAATATTGTTTAAGTAAACAAACATTAATAAGGATTAAGCATGCAATAATCAACATACCGAAACCGCTGCTCACTCAATCTTTGTGCAATCAGATAATATTGTCAGCGCTATGAATTTTAAGTTAGATTTGTCTATAAAAACATTATTATTATTTATGAGTTCCTCAATTTTATAATAAGATTTTTTACAAAAAAGTGTTACACTTGAATTTTTTTTGGTAGATAGAGGACAGACTCTGGCAGTTTGTTAAAACCTTACGCAATTTCCATAAAACGAATTGCTAACTTTCGTCAAACTGCACTTAGGCAAAACCAGTTTGCTGTTATTACGTAAGCTTCTATTAGTGTAATCGCTTACTTTTTTGAAACTGTCAATATTTTTCCTGACATACATGATATTTTCGTAAATGAATTGAGTGTATAGAATCTCAAACAACGTGAAGGATACATGGTAAATGATTGCCTGTATACACGAACAGCTCTACAGTCGTCATGTTATCATGTGACCACTCAAGCGTTGTTATTCGGAGAACTAAGATGTCATTTGTACGCTACCCTGTGATTTCACTGCCTTATCTCTACTGAGTTACTTTCAACTGAAGAAATTTTACTACGCAAGCTGCTCGCCAACTGAAGTAGACGAGAGAGAGACAGAGGTTCGTATTTCTCTCTATATCTCTCACACATCTTAAAGACCAACCGCTACGAACACTTTCAATATTTTTATTATTTTTAAATTTATATATAAAGAAGAACTTTTCTTTTTGTACGTCCTGTTTTTGATACTTTTCACTTATTGCCTTTCCGTAGTAAGTAGTTGCATTTTAATATAGTATAATCTATATGTTTTCATCTATAAATACAGTCCACTGGTCCGTTACACACCTATTTCAAAGGACTTTGTATAAAGTCTTGAAAATTAATTTCTTATACATAAATACTTACACTTTTAGCACGAGAGGATATTTCGTAACTTCATCTTCTCTTAGACCTGGAGGCAGCAGTAGGCGCACCCTGGCCGCGTGTCCACTGGACAATTGGACAGAAAATGTCCGCGGGGTAGGCAGGGCTATTGTCGATAATTTTTCCTGTTAATAAAGAATTTAAACTTAGAATAAAATAGAATAGAAAATAATTTATTCAAATAAACTTAATTTAAGCACTTTTGAATAGTCATAATAATTTTTTATATCTACCGCTCGATCGGAAAGCTGTCTCATCGCAAGAAGAACGAACAAGAAACTTGTGTGTTGCTCTTCTAAATAATTCTTGTAAGTTTACATTTACAAGTCGAAACGTGTTAACAGAAACTACCAATCAGCACTATTTTTTTGGTCAAATATAAATATACAATAAGATTAAATCAGTCGTAGTGATAAGAGCAGACCAGTCCCTACAAGCAGCATTCGTTTACGAGTATGACGGATAAGCCAGCCATCACTGCGCTCGACCATATTTTAGGGAGCCCAATGACCCGGCCCACCACGCGGCCACGTGTCTGGACATTTTAGTGAGCATGACTACTTATTCCACTCGACTTAACTATAAACTATAGCACTTACTTAAATTTATTCTCTGAATTATTGTTGTAGTAAGAGTTGACTCTCGACGAGGGCACTGTTCGTTTGTTGCTAAACCTCGTTACGTCACTCAAGTACTAATTTACATTTTTTTATGTTTTACATATATTATTATAGATTTATCCGTGAATTTATTCGTGTAGAATTTAAACTTTGTTAACTTAAAATAGATAAGTTTTCTAAAATAAAAGTAGCCTAAATAACTCCTTATAACATTAGCTATCTGTGAAAGTCCTGTCAAAATCGGTCCAGTCATTTCAGAGATGAGCAAGAACAAAGATAGACAGATAGTTTCTTTTTAATGTAAGTATCGTATATATACACATATACTCTAATCAACGCAGACGACTTTTTACAAAGTATATCCTGGTGAAAACGGATGTGTTAAAAACCAACCGTAAATTTACATAGGTATATACTTTATTTGCATAATACTGTCACAAACTATTATAATTTCTTTCGCCGACCAGAGCACAAAGAACGCTTCAAATGGGAACATTATTTTTGCTTAATTGTAGAACTTTTGTCGTCGTTCTATTTCAAAAGAACTTTGTATTCAGTATAAAGGCGAAATGTTAGCATTTTCGCTATTATGACCCACGCTGTACTTGTGATAAAATTCTGTCACCTTTTCATGTATTTTTTTTACAAACAATTACGAAAATGACTACCCCGATGGTTTAGCGTTCTAAAACACTCCTTTCCAATAGTCACAGGATCTATCCCCGCACAGTATGAAAAAACATGTCTATATATTTTTTTATTTGTAATTTGGGATTAGATGGTACTGTGTAGTATTCAGGTTTATTTAATTGTTTCATTAAATTTCTATTCCTGTATTATCTATATATGCGTATATCTTCCATTATTTCTTTTATTTATATATATAACTAGCTGTACACGCTGGAATTTAACTTTATTGTCCTAAAATAAAATAATTGTTCTAAAATTAAAGTAAAGTAGCTTAAGTTACTCCTTATTACATCAGCTACCTTTCAAAAAATGACCCGCCAAAATCGATCCAGCCATTTCAGAGATTAGCCAGAACAAACAGACAGACAGAATAAAATTGTAAAATAAAATATTTTGGTGTATATACCGTATTTATATTTATATGCATGTAGTAAAAACGGTTATTCCAATATTACAAACAGACACTCCAATTTATTTATATGTATAGATAGGAATTTAAGAACAGAAGTCAATAACACTCGGTTCTTTCTGTCTACCTCTTAATGGACTTGGTTTGAGGATAAATAGATAGATATTATAAAAAAAACAAGTGACTTTGTGTGATCGTACTGTGCATGTGTTCATGTGTGTGTGTGATATTTATTTCTTTTTTTAGTTATATAGCTTTTGTTCGACTCGCGTATGTGGATTTCATCATATATACAGAAGTATTTCTGTCGTAAAGCAGATCTAAAAGATTTCTATAAATATAAGAAAACACTTTACGCAGTTACCTAATATGTTCAAAGGTTTTGTATGACCTTTAGAACTTGACTAAATCTCTAACTAATGAGATATAAGAAATCTTATAGCTTAGCAAGGGATTTAGAAAATCATATTTAATACAGTTTATTTTTATGAAACGAAGCAATCCTGAGTTACGTTGTAATATAACTAAATAATATTTTTGTAAGGATTTAATAATATAAAATAATATACACTGAATAATAAATATTTTCTATAAGGATAAACTGATTAAGAAAATGTGAACTTCTGATTATTTTATAGAGGCAGATTTTGTTCAAAATAGCCTACGGCAGTTCTGTCTCTCATATAACTGATGGGAAGCAGCTTGCTTTGGAATTTATCTTTCGCTTCAATGGTGAGATATGGTAGTATTACAAATTATATTAGTTCTCTGGAATTACAACATATAATGGGTTGTTTATATATGCGACGTTTGCCATATTTCATCAGGTATGCCGACATCAGTTTGTTTGTCATTCCAGTTATACTAAAATGTAGTGTTATAGTATGCTTTTGGATTGATATTTTTTACCTTTTTACGCATAAACTACTGGGCAAATTTGGTACATATATAGTATACTAGCTGACCTGTAAACGTTGTTTGATCATATAAATTAAAATCGTTATTAAAAAATAGGGGTTGATGGTAGAAGGGTGAAAATTTAGGGTTCTATGTATTTTTTAATGCCACATTATAAAAATATTAAATAAAAATGTTAGGGGTGGGCAACCCTTATCACTTAGGGGTATAAAAAATTTATAGTAGCCTATTCTCAGACTTACTGAATATGCACACAAAATTTCATTGAAAACAGTTAAGCCATTTCGGAGGAGTATGGTGACTAACATTGTAATATGAGAAATTTATAAATAAAATAACATTCATTGAAATATACACTTTTTAGACAAATTCATGTAGGAAATTCCGCGTGTTATAACAAGATGCGGCGCTTACCTTGACTGCGGTGTTATTCTCCAAGTGCAACAGGAGTCTTGGCTCTGGGAGAGCGATCTTGAAGAGGCTGGAGGTCGGCACTCCTGGCCCAAGGCACTCTAATACGAAGTATGCTGATGATGGACTGAAGTGAGCTTCATGATACAGGCACGGTACATTTTGTGGAAGACCTTCTGAAACAAAATATAGTAAAAAAAAAACAATTCCTTAACTATAAGAAGAGACTTTAAACTTTTTAATTCCAATAATATAACTGTTACTTCAAACGAGCATATTATGTTTTATCTTTGCATATTATGTAGTAATGTTAGAAGTTTTCGTCAATTCGCCTGTTTTTTAAGACAAAAGATAAGAAAGGTTTTATCTTCCGCGCACATTAATAACATGTTTCACAAAAACAAACATTAAGATCTATTCAGCCGTTTAATCTTAAAATGTTAAAGTTAAGTTAAAATTAATATAATAACAAACAGACAGATAGACACCTTTTCACAATTATATCACTAGTACGAAATTATGGGTACAGGACATAAATTACATATTATAATATAGTCTGTTGACGTAATGATATATTTATATTGTGTATTGAATATATTTAGACATGAGTTTATATTTACCATATGTATTCAGTGCAGTAGTTCCAAAGTTTGTCTTGGTCATAACAAAACCCGTGTTTCAAGCGTCCATAGGCTACGGTAACCGTTTACCATCAGATGGGCCGTATGCTTGTTTGCCATCTCAGTGGTATAAAAAAAAACCCGCTCTGTTTATTTATAATAACTAGCTGACCGGCGTAACTTCGTACGCGCCAAAATTTCACAGTATCTGCATTTTTTTTAATTTGCACCTCCGCTCCTATTGGTCGTAACGTGATGTTATAAAATAGCGATGTTAGGGAGCTCTGTAACCGTAACGGAAACTATCGGATATCCGATATAGAAAAATATTCGTAATCGTAACCGAATCCGAAATAAACGTTTCGGATGATATCGGATAGGGGCGGAGCCTAATTAAGACACCATTTTATCACCTATTTGTATTTTACTTTTGTAATTCCTTAAAAAAATTATATCAGTAACCGAAATTATCCGAAACTAACGGATAATCCGAAATAATTTATAATCGGCATCCGTATCTGTATCCGGTATAATAATCATTCCTATATCCGAAACCTATCCGTATCCGAAATTTCATATCCATGACATCCCTGTTATAAAAGCCTACAGCCTTCTTAGACAATATCCGATCCAACACTAAAAGAATTTTCAAAATCGGATTAGATCAGATCTACCTATATCCAAAATCACACAGTTTACCTCTTTATAATAATAAATAGAAATTTTATAAATATATTCTTAAGACGGTATCTTGCCTGGATGTTTCCTTTTTTTCTTTTTAGATGTCGTGGGTGACGTAGGCGGCAATTCCTCGTCCCAATCTGAGTCCCACGTGCTGTCACCAGATGACGCTAGGTTTCCATAATACTCCAGATTTATCGACGGCGATGGCTAGAAACGTATAAATTATGTACAACTTTCTGTTAGTTTACCTTTACTGTGTAATTAACCCTGTTTCATCCATCACGAACGTTTAGGTTTACTGGAATTTGCATTGTAAAATAGTGTGCCTTATTCGAAAGCGTCATTGCTTAATGGTCGCCAGGGGAGGGGGGAGGGATTGTTAGTAATGGGGACACGGCCCCACTGCTTACCACCTTGATCAATCTTTCTTGGTGAATTTTCTATGATGAACTAATTCACCATTACTCACTAATTCACTTCGTTATCCTCCACTAATACCTCACCGGCGCATACCGTTTGCACACCATTCCATTACAATCCATAAAAACAGTTATTACTACCCCGACTTAGGCGAAAGGACATATTTTAATCAATTTATATTTCTGATTCAGTCTCCGATGATGGAAACATCGATAACAAAGAAACAAATTAATCCGATAGATGGCGGTAGGGTTGCTGTTCTGCCACGTTGTTATTAAATTAATATACCTAGTAACATGTACAATCTGATCGACCTCCAAAGATATCTCTGAGAGAATAGTGAAACTGATCTGATTTCATACTCATCCGATCACCGTCCATTGGTGGTGACTCGTCAGGGCAAACCATCAACACAAGCAAGTATACCATTATTCATAAATGTATATTTAAAAATTTTACTTCTAAGACATACCTGTGAATTACAAGTAACGCAATAAGGCAACTTCTGCGGTGAACCGGGTCGTGGTGCTTCCGAAGATATTCTATACAGATGCTGTTGTCCTGGTTTCCCTTCTGGTATCCCGAGATAATATCTGTGATCAAAACATTTTAATTTAAACATAAACTATTAATAAAAACGAAAATAACAAGTAGGTATACAGGAAACATCTAATATTTCATTTAAAAGTTTGAAATATTGTAAATAGGGTTCATACATGTAGTCCATCTATCTACAATACATTCCTCACGGAATAGGCAAAAAGACCCGAGTGCGCCTGTTATTTTTGTATTCCAGTAGACTTAATATAACTATATACGGCAATACCACATCAAAGACTCAACGAATTACTTTACAACAGTATAAAAATTGTACATTTTGTTCATTCAAATTCTTCGTTCATTCACGATTACAAATTGTGACTACATCTGATAAGAACGGATATTGGCATTAGATGTACTAGGAGAACATGTACTCACATATGTTGATTGGCGTGATCCCACGCCAACAACTTTACAACATCGAAGCTACCGTGCGTCAAAGGTAGCGCTCTAGGGCCATGTGCATTATGTTCAGTCCTGACAATATGCCTGAACAAACCAGCCGGGCCGTCTCTGACTGGTGCCAACGTGACTAACGCACCACCACCAGCAGACCATAAAGGAGCTGGAGCAGACTCCACCCAGGCTTCTGATCCCGATAATATTCTATACACCTGTGAAAAGAAACACGGATTAGTTAAGACAATTATAAACACTTCTTTGTCTTCTCTTCGCGCCTAGTAGTTTACAAGTTAAATTGCTAAAAGTAATACCTTTTTGCTTTTTTATTCTATTACATATAAATATACATAAACTCTATTCTAGTTTAGATTAGCTTAACTACCATCAAATATTTTGCATTTCCCGAAGGTTGTCTGGTAGAGAATGCCAATAGTATTAAGTCCGCCATTTGTACCATAATTTATTGGTCAATAAAGTTTAAATAAAAAAAAATTTGAAAAGCAGTTCCTGCAAACTCAGGACTGAAATTAAGATCCATATTTCCATTTAATTAAATAATAAATTGATATTTCTTTGATCCTATAAATTAAATACATAAAAACAGGGTGTTGTACCTCTTGGCAGTACCACATAGGACTCTTGCACACCGACACAACAGAGAGGTTTTGTGTGCGCGTCAGCCACACCACACAGACCTCCGTGAGGGACACCCACTGTGCGCTTGTGAAGTAATAATCACTACAACAAAAAGAAAATGTGTTATCAATATATAAAAATTGCTAGTTTTTTCTCATCCTCGCTGTTTTTAATGTAACCATGTAACCTTCCATTGAACAACAGTACGCGAGAAAATATTTTATTATACATTTTATGTATGAGATTATTTATAAAAGGAATTATTAAACTCAATTCAGTTTTCATAATGGTACTATGGATTGTACATACGAAAATATACCATCCAAACCAATATGGCACTCTCTCAATCTCTGCTTAGCTTGCCATCTAGCTAGATAGAGATTGTGTTTTTGGTACTGAACAACTGATACAAACACATACATTTCGTAAACCATACATAGTAAAAACCCAAACGGATACCAACTATCATACTCATGTATAATAATGTTGGTGCCATGCGAGGAATCAAACCCGCGACCATTCAAACCAACAATACCAGTATTCAAAGCGAAGTCTCGCAACAACTGCATTATATGAAAATTTTCAAAACAAAATGTTCAAATATTACGGAATGTCGAAAAAACTCTTTTGTAATGTAGCAAGCATTGCGGTTAATGAAAAATTTTTCATTCAGTAAATCGTTAAACATAAAAAAAAATCTGAATCATTTGTTTAAATATTCAATTTTTATAGTAAACTATTTGAAAACGTGTAAATGTAGAAGATAAAATATGGTAGTGAAATTATAGGATACCAAGGCATGACATCTTGGGCCTCATGGAAGGCAACGCAGGCGTAATATTTTAATAAGTGATAATGGAATAGTGTATAACTGCGCTAACGGTATAAGCAGGCAGGCTTGTGGAAAATGATAAGATGAGTACGATGTCAGGTTAATTAGATCATTGTGACAAATTCACCAGGTTTTTATTTAAGAAACAAGTTAAACGGTGTAAAGGTGTAAAATAAGTAACTAATACTTTTTCTTTTTCTGTATATAAGATTTGAAGAGAGGTTTGTATCCTCAACAGTTTTAACCACCACGTTTTACAGGAGGACTACGTGGAGTTCCACCTGACATAACTAATGACCAATTCCTTCCTCCCTAAAGTGTGAGTCACATGTGATATCCATCGTGACATTCATGTGAGGCGATGGTTACCACCTACCATCAGCATGTTTGCTATTCCAAGTCAAGAACAAGTCCCGTACAATGTAATTTGATTAAACGTAACATAACTTACACGTGGTACTAATTAAAAACTTTATAACGTAAAAGTAAAAAAAAAAACTTTAGACAAGCTCTTATTTAAATAATAAAGCAAACTTTTCTTTTAAAACTTTTAATATTAACTTATAACATCATTACTGAAATATGATGAACCTTGTCGAGACATTAAAGTACTCGTTCAAGTATTTAGTTTAAAAATGAAAATAAATCAGATTAGAATTTTTTTAATTTACTTGTTTACAGTCATACATCTCGCTTTTATTATATTAATATTTAACGTTTTTATAATATTTTTCTTTGATGCTCTACTCCTATTGGTATATAGACTTCCTCAATAAATGGGCTACCCAAGAGTGAATTAATTTTTCAACCCGTTCTAATACTGAGATTAACTGCGTTCAACCGAACAAATAAAGTCATTAGCTTTATATTTTATATACATCTTACTAATATTTTAAACACGGTTTTGCTGAAACTTTACGGTAGTATAGCTTATAGATCAGAATAACACATAGGCTATATTTTAAAAGATATGTAAATTGTGAGAAATATAATAATAAATGCCATGTAAGTATGTACATATGCTATCTGTAGCGTGATGCAGACGAAGTTGAGCTGGTTAGCTACTTGGCTATAAAAATGAAACGCAGACGTAGTTGCGTGGATCAGCTAGTATATATTAACATCTTTAGCTATTTAAATAAAGTGAAAAAGATCTTTTAAATAATTATTCAGTAATATTGATTGAAATTGACAGTGATCGCTGCGATGCTGAAACTTCGTCACGACGGCTTCTTTCAAGGACAATTTAACGGATGGCTTTCATCTGGTGTGACAGATCGGAGGACAGCGCATCTCAGAACTTTAATTTTGGATTCATCCATCATACTGACTGTAACAAGCTCTTTGGATATTTCAATTTAATAACGTTAGCGTTGAGTAACTGAGCTTTTTAAGATTGTTTTATGTTACAATATTATTATTATTTTTACAAAAGGTCGGATGTTTAAAATAAATCAAGTCAAAAAGAACAAAACAGTTATCTTTATCATAAATATGCTAATGCTTTATAAAATATAGAATTCTCATACTATATATAAATAGATAAAATCTTTATTCTTATCCAGATAACACGAGTACAAATGAAATTCAATTAACAAGTGTATATATATATATATATATATAATAAGCGTGTATATATGTTGTGCGTGTATTGTAAGTTGTGTTTCAGTTGAGATAAGGAAGTGAAATTACTTAGATTTATTAAAGCAGGGAGTGTAACAAGTGGTAATAATATTTCCGTGATGCTTAATTCAATCAACAATTAATTTATTTCCCAATCTGATAACATTAAAATAATTAAATATTAGAACTACTGAGGCTCAACAACGCGTGGTCAAGTCGATTAAATATAAATTTAAAAGAATTTCATCAGATACAAACTAATAAATTTTATAAAGACGACTAAAACTATAAATTACGTATTATTTTAGGAAATATCAAGGGAAATGTTTCAAGGGCCAAAGGACGTCCCTCAATAAACAGGATACCTGGCTACACTATTTATTCGTAATATATATGACAAGATTAGATAAGCTTAGTGTAACTGTAGACTACAGTTTAGATCTACATAAAGGTTTGGGTTTAGTTACTTAGGGACGCTGGTAACAGCTGTTTACTATTTATTTTAATTATGAATACCTATCTGAAAGAGACTTACTTTTATTTTTTTTTATGTAACTTATATGGTAAACTGATAGTATAACTAGTTGGATGGTTAGTTATACTGTCTTTTTACCATTTCAATGGTCACGTGACCAGACGTCCCTTATTGAACGGGTCTATCTCTTTTTATAATTACAAGTCCCCGTGTCCCCGGAGTGAACTGTGGAACGCAAAATTGTTCTGTTTTCGAAGACTGCATGGATTTTTGATAGTAGAGTCGGACCGTTTTGAAGTTAATAATTAAGGTAATATAAAAAGACGTTTATAAAAAGAGTATCATTCTTATTTAAAATATTCACCAGCTGTTATAAAGAAAATTTGGTCCCCTGAAAAATATAAAAATAACGAAACAAAATGATTAGTTATATTTATACTTATCTGGTATAATTTTTAATTGGTAACTTTTAAGCTAACTTTAAAAAAGGGTTTATTATGGACTATCTACTAATTGACAATCTATTAATAGACCTAAATAAACCATTGTCCCGTTTTGTGTCAAAGAATAAACGGTCACGTTATTTTTTTTTCGGACTACTGTAATGCTATTGGCCGCAGCTGGCCTTTATAGCTTCACCGGACGTTAGGTGGCGAGTACAGATAGCACTCCAAACCCATGGAAGGACTTATAGAGCGGCTGAAAGCCAACTCCCGCCTGATGGATACGACTTTAGTCTGAGGGCACCGCTAGGGGTTCGAACCTCGGCTCAGGCCGTCGTAGCATCGGTTCCCATTTGAATTGGACGGGGGATCGATCAGAGGGGTGGTCACGTTAGGTATAACCATCGCTTATGTACAGGAACAGGACTCACGTGGTACGAAAACGTATGTTGTTATTGCGGATGACTATAATGTCATACCACTGTAGACTGTAATTTGACTGCCTTATCTGACCCTTCAATCTAAACACGCAACTACTTCGGTAAACTTACTGTTTATTATTTAATTGTTTAACATTTTACTAGTGTTGCCTGCGACTTTGTTCATAACTACATTTGTAACTGCGAACAAAATCGCATATCTATAATCAACAGATCTATTAGTGGTGATCAAGCGACAGCAATAAATACAGCATCTATACGACGCCATCTATTATTTAACTCATTACTCAGTTGAATCATTATTCAATTAACAAAATTCTAAGTATTGAAAATATTTAGAAAATTAATTAGTTTCCACTTTTTAGTGGGAACTAAATTCTTATCAGTTTTCTTCAGCCCATGTGTTAATATATATTTAATAATATTTTTTTAGACTGATATATTGATAATTTTTCGTTAATTCCTCGAGTTGATTTAAAATAAATTAACATACTTCACAAAAGAAGGGAAGAGGTTTCTGAAGAGGGAAATAATAATGTGGAGTAAGGATCCCATTGCTAGCAAGACGCCAAGTTGACCTTGCGATGTGTGTGTGTGTATCTTATCTACCTCTCCTCCAATGGTGCCCCACCAACGTGAACTGTTAGTGCAGGCGGGAGCACCATTCCATTAACCATCTGTTTTGTGTATTTTTTTAATGGTTATCTATTAACAAAAGTTTTTGCCGTGTTCAGGTTTTATAATAAAGAGAGAATATAAAGATCTTTAATCTTACCCCTCTTCTAATATAATTTTTGGAGGCGTAAGGTGTCTAGTCCTTATGTGCTTCGGATCCGCGATATCGGCAACTGTGAGTGTCACCGTCGGGTTGTTGGTGCCAGGCTTGGGGTATCTCACGCTTCTGATCTCCGGGTATGTCTGTAACAATAATTAGTATAAATAACTAGATACTACTTTTAGTAAATTATATCTTATTACAGTTAAATTGTAATGACTTAAAAATTGTTTATTGTACCGAATAAACAGAAATAAGTTTGCTAATATATTCGAAATTTATTTATTTAAAATATGCTAGTATTTTGAGTAATTGTCAATTGTTCTCTCATTGTTCTTCTCTCTCACAAAAACATACAATAGTTACATATGAATCATATACCAAAAAATATGGTAAAACAGTTGGTACAATTGAAATAAATAATTACAAGACCTCATATCTTGTCTCCAAATTTTAATTAAATAAATATTAATATATGTTTTTAAATTAGACTTGTGACTATTTGTTCTACAATATAGTCATACGTTTTAGTTCACGTTCAGTTTTGGATTATTAATAAATAAATCTCTACATACCCGAAAGAAGCCGAGGTTGTACAGTAATATACAATGAAGTATTGACACTGAATTAACAGCTATATATGTATGTATAATATAATGAGAATCTTTAATTTCTATAAAAAGTAAATGGGTACTTATTGATTAGAAATGTGGCATATTTCGTACAGAAGCAATTTAATCCGACCCTACTCTCACATGGGGGTGACAAAATCCGAACATATCCACGGATTATTCAAATAAAACGAACATTTAGAGGCCTCCAAACTTTGAACCTTCCGATTTGCATAACGTAAGCATAATTTACAATTCGATTATACAAATGTCTGACATATTGTATGTTGTCACATAACGTATAAATCAGTTTCTTATTTCTCATAAAGAAAACTTACATAATGCGATTAAACTGTAATAAAACTTTATGATTTTCTATTAATTTAAATATGATAATGAAAACTAAAAATATACGTAGCGATCCATCGAAAAGCCTAATATAATTTAATGCTGAGAATATAATAGTGTAAATTCTCATAAAATTTATTTTATTTCTCTAACAGTAGGAACTATATTAGTTTTGATAATCTTAAAAGACGGTAAGTGAAAGAATATTGATTACAAAAAACATGACATTCATAAGCGGCTAAAAAGTCTTACATGAATAATTTATTTTTAAATTTAAAATGTTAAAACGTTATTGAAATTTAAAAAGCAAATGTTGTCTCTGTTATAAAACAATGAGACAATCCTTTATCTAATTTCATTTGTGTCGATGTATACTTACGTATATTACAACCCTGCCTCTGAGGTCAACATGTATAATAACAATTAGTTGAAATTAAACCAATCATATTACGGATCGTGTAACACAAACAATCTAGTTAATAGTTGCGACAAACAACACTCGGTATTCGATATATTTGTCAAAGTATGTGCAAACATTAATTAAGCCTATGATCATTAATTATTTAAGTGGTAATGAATCTAAACTATATCTTTATATGTATCGATGAATATGGAATGGTATATCGGCCTGCGCTAACGGTAGACGTTAACAGATAACCTGTGGAGAATGGCAGAATGAGCGTGAAATCAGCTCAGATAGCCCATCAAACGACAAGGTACATAGCTGAATGGAGCTACAAATTCCTATTATTAACATTCCTCTCGGAGGAGTGAGTCGATATTGATAGTCGGGCAAGATGCTTGGCTTGTCACTAATATCCCACGAATATTCAGAAACTATGACGATGCTCATTCATGTGGAAAAAAAACACTTTTGTAATATTAGAGTTCAAACTTAAGAAAATGGCTAACAACTAATAGGGATACTTCTATTCTGTAATATTATTATATTCATCATATTATAAATGTTTGTGAGGATATCCAAATGGTGACCATTGGTAAAGGACAGTGCTAAACAATTGTCTACTGGAGAGAGGGAACAGTTAATAATGGTAATTTTTTTTTGTTTCAGGTCCTCAGCGTCAACTATATTTATAGTAAATCTTAAATATCAATTAATGGAAGATGTAGAAAGAAAATTAGATATTGTGGTCGATTTGCTATAAATGTTTTTTTTTGTATTACTCTAATGCTGTTGGTCGCAGCTGGCCTTTATAGCTTCACAGGGAGCGAGTGCAGATGGCACTCTAAATCCGCGGAAGAACTTCTGGAGCGACTGAAGGCCAACTCCCATCTGACGGGTACGACTTTAGTCTCAGAGCACTGCTAGGGGGTTCGAACCTCTGCTCAGGCCGTCGTAATTTCGATCTCCGTTTCAATTAGACGGGGGATAGATCAGAGGGGGGGCGACAGCGGTGCTATAAATGTACCTGTAAATATATGGATAATTTAGGCTTAATTAGATACAATGTGCTAACTAACCTAACTACTTATCATCCTTCATTGGTGCTTTGCCTATATATTTCCAGCAGAACCATTCCATTATGAGCCATTCAAATTTATACATCTTACTCAAGTTGTGAATACAGTAATCAGCAGATCTCGTATAAACAAAGGACTCGAAATGACAGATTTCTAACATGCGCTAGTTTACTCGGAGTGTTGTGGAAGAGTATATACTACTTACATATATGTAAACAGACTGAAAGCTTTCAGCCAGTGCTCATTCTGTCCTGTATACGAGTAGAAACAAGATAACTAAGAACAATGAACAATTTAATGTCAGCATTCAAGTCTATACAATAATGTTCACAATTGATGGATTCAAATGTTATTTTACACATTTTTCATTTATGTTTTTGTTCCACACCTAAAAGTCGTATAGTTCTGCGTCCGAAAGTCGAATCTAAAGTTATTGAAGTGTAATTTTGAAACACATTCAAAACTAAATATTATAAATCAGTAACAATTGTCAGTTAGTTCATAATATTATAAGAAAAGGGAAAGGGGGCATGACGTCATCTTTCTTCGGAATAACAATGCATGACTGCTATCGCGGGCCTCACTTGATGACGTGATGTTCATTTTATTCATCTATATTGATCACAGTTGTTGCTTAACATCAGGTGGGTCATCAGTTTATTTGTAATTGTAAACACAAAAAATACATGTACGTTTACAGAAAAATACATTAACAAGGCAGTATAAAAAGCAGGTAGCGCCGCGGGATATTATATATAACAATATGCTGCATGCTATACAACATAGCGTCTATTTTTTTTTAAATACAAACATAATATACATAGAAATACTCAGACCGATACAAACAATCATACTCATGAATACAAATGAATGCAACGTGAGAGCTATCGAACTCGCGACTATTGGAAGTAAAACCGTGTGCTGAACCGCTAGACCACGGAGGGTTTCAATATTATATCATCCGTATTAATGTACGTAGAGTTTCGTACCTTAGCCGGGTCGTCGGTGTCCAGCGCCGCTCCGTACCAGGGGTACTTTTGCTCGTGGACTAAGCTGTCATTGAAGGTTGCATATAACACCATATGACCGTCCGCTGACATCCACAAAGCTGTTCGCGATTTCAGAATTTCCTCTGTAACAAAAGCAACAATAATAAATACTGTAATAATAATAACAATAACCCTGGACTATTGAAACAGCGCCATCTAGCCCTAAGAAAATAATACATATTTTTAACCATATATGTAATAAATATCATTTAAAACATTGAAATCATCTGAAAACTTTATCATTTCTATTATCATATTCATTTATAAGTTTCCTTATAACTCACAAAATCAAATTAGTTACCCAAATAGGTTTCTCATATTTTAAAAATATATACATTTCATTTAATCCAAGACGAGTCTTTTAGATTATATTATATTTAATAAAAGCAGTTCTGAAATTTAAATAACAAGTTGTCTGCCAAGTGTAACCCTGACCTTTTCCAGACTATATCGTTTACAAAGAAACATTGTTTTGAAAAAGCTACTATTGAACCTTTAACACCTTTTCAATCGGCTTTTCGTTACAGAAGTCGCAACTGTAAGAAATGACTATAAAAATCAATAAATATTACTGTATTAATTCTAATTCTCTTTAGTTCAAATGTTTCCGATATATTGTTACCAATAAAAGCAGTTCCACAATACAAATATACGTCAAAAATAACACTTTTTTTGTACTATTTACAAATAAATAAGTTTCTGACTCATGCTTTTCAGCGGAATTTTCATTTCGAATAGGTACCACAATAAATGGTGACAATTCATTTACTTCCCTTTAATTAATAGGTGTCTCCTAAATTAAATTATTTTCAATAAAACCAGTTCTGCAATTCAAATAACAAAATGTCTACCAAATATAAGGCTGACCTATTCCAGACTGTACCGTCAACAAAGAAACATTGCTCTTTTAATTTTTATAGAACGGATCCGAATAAATAGGTACTGGTAGACAAATACTCGACTTTATTTATTACTGTACCAACTCCCCCAAGTATAGCAGTACGGATTCTAAGTGCAAATAAAATACGGACCGTGAAATAGTCAATACGTCTGCTGGTATGTTACAAAGTTAAACGTATTTTATAGCGGTTTTTATCTCTATTATTCTATACTAATACTCTAAATATAGAAGCGTGTTTGTCTATCTGTTTGTTATCTATTGTAATAATGTAATTGATATTGATGTAAAGTGTAAAAATAAATAAATAAAATGTCATTTAACGTTAAAATATACTTTATACAATATTATATGCGTGGTTACCTCTGCCTAACTTATTTCACCAAGCAACTAGTTTGTAAGCTGTGTTTTGGTTGAAGGGTGAGAGGCAGTGAAGATAAGGCAGTGAAATTATAGAGTAAGGTCATTCGACCTTAGTGCTTCGTAATGACAGTGCAGGAGTATTACCACTATGAGATGATGTCCGTGGTGCTGCTCATGTATATGGTCATGTTAACGATAGTCCTCCGCATGGATAGCGCAGTAGTATTACCATTATGAGATAATATGTCCGTGGTATTCGTATACATATATATATAGGTGACGGTTTGACCACTTACCATCAGCTAGGCTGTAAGCTTGGTTCGATTTCATTTACAGGAATATGTATTTTTTTCTGCTGCCGCTACCTGTTGTGATGTAATGAAAGTTCGCTCCGTGAGGCGGTACATCTTTTTTGCTTACCGTATCTTTTGAGTCTCTCAGCTGTACGTAATGAGAACACGGCAGGGGTGTAGGGAACATGGCACCTACTATATATATGAAGCGAAAAATCTAATACAGAGTGTACATACATATAAATTGTGTAGTATTTACACCTAATAAAGAACGGATTATTCCTCGGTTTTCTTTTCTATATTACGCTTAAATATTACACAATTCATATATTGTATAATCTCTATATTAGTTTTTGTTGAATTTTCTATGTTAGCAACAATAGTGTTTATTCATTCCCTAATAAAAACCGAGACAAAATGTTGTTGTTAAAACATTGATTAAGAATGGACTGTGTAATGTCATACATGCGCCTATTATGTTCAAGTGGCATATTTAATTTTTATTAATATGCCACTTGGACCTAAGAGGTTTTTTTATTATACAACCTATTATCATATGTTGTATAATATGTAATTTGGTAAATAAATAAAATATTAAAGTATTAGTTTCACCGGCCACTTTAGTGAGGAGTTTATTATTCACCCTTCAACCAAAAACGCAGTTAACAAATCAAGCTACTTGGTGGCTCAAATAGATGAGACTGAACATCATCAGTCTCAAACATCTGTTTGAGACAATTGAGATGAGAGAGACTGTTTGAGACAATATCATCTGATAATCACAAACTTTGATAAATTATGAAAAAAAACCTTATAATATTAATAATACAATAAAGTTTTCCTTATTTCAAGATAATTCATAACAAAAGTTATAGCACACAAAACCGTACTTTATTTACTTTTTATGTCAACGTTTAACAAAGGTAGCCACAAAAAGTTTCGCTCATAATGAAAAATTATCATTTAAATGGGCGCCTATTAAAAGGGTCGTAGGTTGGTGCGTAGAAAAGATGTTATATCCTAATACTAAAGATATACTCCATTTTCCTTATACAATACATTATTTATTGTAGTTTCTTCGTCCTATTAAGGATATTATCTACGATGTACTTATATAAATGAAAAAAAGGAAAAGTCTTAATATCGCATGAGGTAGGATGAAGAAACTATAACGTTAATAATTCAGAGAAAAATATGTACATTTTCAAACGATCAACAGTGTAATTACAGGGTATTAGGAGGTATCATCAGTCCTCTGAAATGGCGATTAATATTATGTACATCACATGAAGTATCGCTGTCGGCAGTACAGCGTGGTTCATACTGGTCTTCAACTTGCATAATGATATTAAATAAAATAAATAAACATTCGTCGGAATCCGTTGGGTTTGGTATGAGAACGAATAACATAAACATGAAAATATTGTTAAATTAAGAACCACATTGGCAACCAGTTGAAAGATAAATTGTGACCAACTAAGTAGTTATTTTATTTAAAATGTTTTATCTAAAACAATTAAAAACAATCAGCTAGCTGATTTGAAGCGACGTCTCTTTTTGTATCAGATCTTATAAGAGTGAGTTTTATTCTAAAAATTAACGACTAAGTAGTAATTTCGAAGATGAAGTCTTCATACCACAAAAAGTTTTGAAAAATGAAACTGACAGCCGGATATCCGCCTAGGATTATGTTGTTCTCACTTGGAAATGTTGAATTTGAAATGCGAACGTTTAATATTATTCAATTCCACCAAAGTTTTGACACGAACCTTCTAAGTAGTTTTTTTTGTAATTGGTAACAATGTGATGAAAAAAAAACAGTTCTATTTCGAAGTCAGTTCAAAAATTTTCGACTTACTACCAAGATGGTCTTATGCTAAATTTATTATTATTTGCACCGTTAGAATATTTTACTTTAACTTCATTTTTGAACGGTAAATCATAATCCTCCTTTTGAATTCATTTAAAAAGGTTTTTACCTATTAAGATTCATGAGACACAATAATCTCGCTTTGAATTTTAAAATTCTAAAGAGTTTATTTAACAACCGTTTCGCAGGACGAATAATCTACGGGAAATATCCGATTATTTTTTAAATTGTTCTATTTCCAATAATATTAAATATGGACTATAACTGGTATAAAATAAGGTTACATAGCCAGTAATTGAGAACTTAATTTTTAATAAGGTAGATTGAAAATGTTAGAGCAAATGACTTTGCATCGTTTGAGTTAGGTATTATTTATTTATTCAAAAACAATTTAGCCATGTACATTAGCGATAAGCTAATAATATTTTCCATACTCTGTCACGAGAGAGACGACAAATTAATCGGACGAGTGACCCGGCCAAACGTACGAATGTAGGTGAACTGAATATTATTAGACGGCTATATACAGGTTGAAGTACCGTTGATAAATGTCTACAATTTGAGTTTGCATTTTCTTGTTTTATTTTAGAAACATTACAATTTATAATATAGATTTTTTATGTAATTGAAATGGCAGACAATCTGTCAGCTCATCATATGGTAAGTGGTAATCATCATGTACATGAGAAACAAACCGACATCGCTTTATGATGCCACTCATGCGTTGTTATTCCGAAGGACTAAGATGTTACGTCTCTCATCCTGTAATTTCACTGCTTAATCGTACCATTCAACCGAAATATATATATATATATATATATATATAATATAGCTTACAAAACAAGTTACTTGACAGCTCAAATAGGTGAGTTCGAGGTACCCACGCAGACGACATTTTTTCCACTTTCCTCGTTTCTGCGATATTTTTCATTACAGCTCCGCTTTTATTAATCTGGCGTAATATTTATACATATATACAAAATTAAATTGTAGTTTAAAATTGAAGACATTCAATTCAAAAAGAATGAATTAACTGCGAGGAAAATATTAAAACAACGAGTGAATTACAAATGTATTAGGAATACTCTCTGTTTGTACCTAGCAAACAGTTTGCGTTCAGAAATTAATTTTGCGGCTACATGACATTACAACAGAGAAATGTGTCGGTTCTTTCCTTTGTGACTATGCGAAAGTGACGCCATTGTACAATTTTTTGTAGTTTATAGTATTAGGTAGTTTTGTAGATACAGCGTGAAAAGCGCTAGGTAGGAATCTCGCCGGGGCAGTTAGTAAAAATATAAATAAATGTTTATTTGTAATGACAACTGCTCGATTACATAACAAAACAAAATTAAAGTCCCATTACAACGAAACGTACATAAATATTGGAAACAAATGAATCCAAATGAATAAATAATTGTAAATTGCTACTAAATCGATTGTCCAAGGTATTTGTTACTTTGTGTAGTCATTTCACAATAATTCTAAGCCTGTAATAACCTCACGCCACAATAATTATATTGAAATAAACCATAACTCATTTGTATAAAAAAAGTTTATGTATTTTTTATTTAACGACTACTAAGAGTGTCATGGTCTAGTGGTTTACTACTCCGACTTAGACCGCAAGGTCAAAGTTCGAATCTAGAGGAGACAAAT